GAATAGCTTTTAACAGTCATACAGCTGGAAAGGGAGTCAGAAACTTGGTTGGGGGAGCAGCCAGCAGCCATTAGCTCTCTATATAGCTGCAGTCCCAGTCCTTGAAGCTCAGTGAACAAGAGCTCAGCTAATAGGCTTCTCCTCATCCTTGAGAGAAGTGACTAAAGGGGTGTCCCAGGGTTTTGTCCTGGGCCCAGTGCTATTCAACATCTTTACATAACTGACTTGGATGATGGTAGAGCACATGTTTATCAAGTTTTCAGATGACATTAAGTTAAGATGGGTAGCTAATATCCCAGATGACAGGATCAGAATTCAAAATGATCTTAATAGATTAGAAAACTGGGCTAAAAGTAACTAAATGTGCTGGTCTATGACCATGATAAAGATTCTGTTCTAACTAAATGAATTTCAACAGAGAGGTAATACACTTAGGCAATAAAATGAAAGGCACTAATATAGGATGGGTGACACCTGGCTTGACAACAATACTTGTGAGAGGGATCTGAGAGTCATAGTAGATCATGATCTGAACATGAGTCAGCAGTGTGATGTGGCATCTGAAAAAGCCAATGCAATTCCAGGCTGCATCAATAGGAGTATAGTGTCTAGATCGAGGGAAATAATAGTTCCACTCTAATGAAAAAGAAGGTTTTTAAATGAATGCTCTGTTGAGAGTGCTTTGATTGTGTATTCCTGCCTGAGAGTGGATAGAGTGGATGGTCCCTTGTGGTCTCTTCCAGCTGTTGATTCTATGATTTTAAGAGTCTATAACTGAGATTTTTAAAGAAAATTCAATATAATCCAGATGTGCATAGAAACAAAGATTTGGAAGAATATGCCTCCATTAGCCTTGTATAATACCTCGTGTTCATAGAAATCCAATAGAAATGTGGGTAGGTGTTGTTAAAAACTGACTTTCATTTCTTGTTCAAGAAACATCTGTATTGAATTTACTGGATTTCATTTCTGGAGCAATTTTCACAAGAAAGCCATATATGAGACTTTAGCATTTCTTCACTTTCAGATCTTTGACATCCATCCCATCGTCAAAGCAATTTGAGAACTGTTACAAACGTTGATTGCCAACAGAAGTATTTGATATGAACATTTATTACTAGTTTTTAGATTAGATTAGGTTTGCTTTTGGCAAGGCTGTCCATTTTATTTTTGTACATCATGGTGCTATATACACAAATAATTCTGCCATATGCATTTTTCATTTCCTCATTGTTCTGTAAACCTAGAGGCCATCTAGACTGATTTCTATTGACTCGCTTATTATATCTTTTGAAGGGCATCTTTGGTGGATGTCTGACCCCTTCTTGGACAAGTTTCAGTCTTTCTACGCTGTGAAAAGATGCGAAATCAATTCATGACATGTATCCCTCATCCCCGTAGCTAAAAGCACAACTGAAGTGCTGGCTCTAAGACAAATGCCAGCAACTTCTGCTCCTGGCATGCCAAGATGGCTTACATTTATGAATGAAAGAGAGGCATGTGTCATGAAAGTTGATGGTTACTGGACAAGAATAAAACCTGTGGTTGAAAGGATGCAGGAAAAATTGTTCCAGATATTCAGCCTCTTCCAAAGATGGGTCATTCTGCTGTCTCTTTGCAGTTAAAATACCTGTCTATTTCACTCATATCTAATGAGATTATGGAAGAGAATGACTTGCCTCTAGTCTGAGGCCAATTGGAAGCTCATGCTGAGATATATAATAGGCAACCTCCTCTGAGATGAGATGCCTGGGTCTGACAAAAGCTGTTGTACCTTTGTTTGGTTAATGACTTTTAAAAATATTTATATTCTGTCCTGTGTCCAAAGATCTTAATTGACTTATTAAATCGCTATGAAGGTATCAGATCCCATCTGATCATGGAAATTAAGTAGGGTCAGGCCTTATTAGTACCTGGAAGGGGAACCACCAAGGTGAGATAGGTTAAAATTTCAGAGGAAGGCAATGTCAAACCATCTTAAGTATTCCTTGCCTAAGAAAACCCTGGGTCACCAAAAGTCAACAGGTGACTTAAAGCCACCAGGGATATAATTCTTCAATAAGTTTCTTTCTGAAGGAAGCAACAAGTATTTTTTTAACAATTTTTCTTCCCATTACAAGAAAGTCTTTGAAAATTATACTGGTTTTTGAAGCCTATTCACAAATCAGGACTTATTGTACACAAAATTCATATACTTGCTTTGCACAGAAAGCAGCATTATGTGCAAAGAAAATAGTGGCTGGAATCCTGTATCAGCAATGATAATTAAGTAATATTTAACTAAGTAGCTGATACAGGATTCTGGCCAGTATGTCTACACAGAAATTTTATTTTCTGTACAGAAAAAAAAAAGCTGTTTCTGGAGAGAAACTGCTGTTTTCTACACAAATCAACCATGTGTGAATTTTGTGTAGAATAAGTCTGCATTACAAACAAAATGTTGGTGCAAGAACAGCTTTTTGTGTACAGGAAATAATATTCCTGTGTAGAAAATTATTCTTTTCTGTGCAGAAAATACTGTTTCCTATGCAAAAACAACCACATGCAAATTTGTGCAGAATAAGTCCTGAACTGCAAAGCTTCTCACCAATCAAGAATTCTCTTCAAGGACTTTTCAACGGTTTTTCAAAAAATATTTTAAAGTATTATTTCCATCCCTTGAAGACTCTTACACACACACACACACACACACACACACATTCTAAAGCTTCTAATGTGTATTAGGATGCATTTGGGGAAACATCAGATTTTAATGCATTATCATTCTTTGTATGGAGTTCTCTCATTGTAACCTCTTCAAGCCAAGTTTGAACTCTCCAGGGCAGAGCACTCACCATCAACGCCAATTTTGCCATCCCCATCTTTATCTCCCGCAGCCAAGAATGCCTTAGTTTCTTTATCAGAGAGGTCCCTGCCATCAGGGGTAAAGCCTTTCAATACGAACCTATGAAGAGGGAGACAGGAAGATTGGCTGAGATGGCTTCATATACATGCATATACATAATTTGAATTTATATAGTGCTTTTCCTTCAATGTAGTTTACAAAAGAATTAAAACACCATAAAACATAATACCATTCATAGTTATAAATACCATTCAGCTTATAAAAATACAAATTTAAGAATCACATCAAAAGCACTTGCTACTGTGTTGTTGTTTTTTTACTTTGTTAAAAAAGCCATCCCTGAATCCCACAATAATGAATAATTATCAGCCAGTGTCCAACCTACCATTTTGAGCAAGGTTTTAGATCATGTGGTGGCTTCCCAGCTACAGGGGTTTCTGGATGAAACGGATTATCTAGATCCATTTCAAACAGGTTTCAGGCCTGGCTATGGAACAGAGACAGCCTTGATGGATCACTTACACAGGGAAATAGTCAGGAAGCATGTGTCCCTGTTTGTTTGGCTGGATCTCTCAGCAGTTCTCGATACCATCATCCATGGTATCCTTCTGGGCCACCTCTCTGGGATGGGACTTGGAGGTACTGTTTTATAGTGGCTATGTTCCTTCCTGAAGGAGTGAACCCAGAATTGGCCTGTGGGGTCCCTCAGGGGTCTGTGTTTTCCCCTATGCTATTTAACATATACATGAAGCCACTGGGAGAGGTTATCCAGAGTTTTGGGGTGCGGTGTCATCAATATGTTGATGACACTCAACTCTACTACTCCTTTCCACCTCAATCCAAGGAGGCTGTCCTGGTCTTAAATCAGTCCCTGTCATCAGTAATAGATCAGATGAGGACAAACAAGTTGATACTTAATCCAGATAAGACAAGGTGCTCCTGGTCAGTTGGCAGGCAGATCAGGGAATAGGGATCCAGCCTGGGTTAAATGGGGTCACACTCTTCCTGAAGATGCAGGTTCACAGTTTGGGGGTATTCCTAGACTCAGCTTTTAACCTGGAGGCCCAGGCCTCTGCAGTGACCAGGAATGTTTTTGCACATTTAAAACTTGTGAGCCAACTGCGCCCGTTCCTTAAGATGCTGGATCTGGCCTCAGTTGTACATGCCTTGGTTACATCCTGTTTGGACTACTGTAATGCACTCTACTTGGGAATGGCTTTGAAGAGTGTTTGGAAACTTCAGCTGGTCCAAAGAGACGCAGCCAGGCTGCTAACAGGGACAGGTTACAGAGACCACACAACGCTCCTGTTGAAACAGCTCCACTGGCTGCCAGTTTGTTTCTGGGCACAATTCAAAGTGCTGCTGATGACCCTTAAAGCCCTGTATGGCTCAGGTCCAGGCTATTTGGCAGACCATATCTCCCTCTGTAAGCCAGCTGAGGCTCTGAGATCCTCCGGGGAGGCCCTTCTTTCCATCCCACCAGCATCACAAGCACGGTTAGTGAGGACACGAGAGAGACCCTTTTCCGTGGTTGCCCCTAGACTCTGGATCTCTCTGCCCAGGGAGACCAGAATGGCCCCTTCCTTGAAGGCCTTCCCCTGACAGGCGAAAACCTTCCTTTTGAGACAGGTATTCAAAACAGAAAACTTCTAATGAACGGCCTGGGATACTATATTATTTAAAATGAATTTGAAACATGTTTATCTTCTCATTTTATTTTATTTTATTGTAGTAGTTTAATTCTGTTTTTATGTATTATTTTTTGTATGTTTTAATTGTATTGTTTTTTTTAAAAAATGTTGTAAGCTGCCCTGAGTCCCAATCCTGGGAGAAGGGCAGGATGATGATGATGATGATGATGATGATGATGATAATGTAGTGTCATAGTGATTAAACGGAATGTAAGACTTGGCCAATCCAGGTTCTAGTCCCCGTTGGGCCATGAAATTTGCCAGATGACCTGGGGTCACCCCGTCTTTCTCAGGCTGAGAGCTGTGCAAGTATTCTTGAGTTCATTTGGAAGGAAGATAGGATATGTTATTGTTGTGTGCCTTCAAGTCATTTCTGACTTATGGTGACCCTAAGGCAAACCTATCATGGGGCTTTCTGGGGCTAAGAGTGCATGACTTGCCCAAAGTCACCCAGTGGGTTTCCATGGATGAGCATGGAATTGAACCTTGGTCTCCAGGGTCGTAGTCCGATACTCAATCCACTATGTCACACTGCCTCTCAGACAGGATATACGTTTAACTAAAAACAAATTCAGAGTAGCTCTTAAAAATAAAATACAGTTTTGCAATTAAACCTTAGATGAGTATCTGTTGGAGCAAGTGTATGCTTAGCACACACTCTAAGGTCTTGGAGCACTGTGTCTAGCAAGCTTCTCGTGTTTGAGATAGTAGAAGGCCTATATGTCAGATATAACCATAAAAATAAAATAAATATGGCAGATAACTTCACTTTTGATTGTGCATTTGGGACAATGTGGTTCCTCAGGTATTCCAGGCCCAATTTGCAAGACTCTAATACTCCTAATATGCCCAAGGACAAACTGGTAAACTAGCAGAGCATTCAAAGGACCAGTCTCCCATGTTCCCAGAATTCCCAGTATTCAATGAAAACAGCCTCTCTGGGCAAGCAGGATTTTCCAGATTGTCTTCAAGGTAGGCTTATTGAAAATCCATTACTGTAGCCAAGCTGAGTCATTTTACTGCAGCATGCAAAAAAGAAAGTAGGGTCCAGGAAAAGGTCAAGATTGTGGATGAGCTGCAAGTGATGGATGGCTCTACTGGCCAGAGCTGTCACCTGGATCCAAAATCACCACACAGTGCCAATTGGATCTTTAAAGAAGTGGGTTGTATGTTATGACCCTAGCCAGAGACAGCAATTTCCCTAAAAGTTAGGGTGGAGAGAGTAAATTGCCACATTTGTGGCCAGTTTGGGATGTTTTTGACAGGTTTGGGGGAAAATAATCATCCCAGAAATGATGTAAAAATATAAAAGGGAGATCAAGCACTTCCAAAGCCACAATTTGGGGCTCCAAAGGCCACATGCAACCCTGCCCTAAATCCTTGTCAACAGAACTACCACCATCCACCAGCATGGGGACCCTGGAACTGGTTTTAAGGTGGGAAGGCTGATCATTGAGAGCCAGTGTAGTGTAGTGGTTGAGTATTGGGCTAGAGCTCTGGAGAACAGGGTTTGAATCCCTGCTCAGCTGTAGAAACCCATTGGGTGACCTTTAGCAAATCACACTATCTCAGCCTCAGAGGAAGGCAAAGGCAAACCTTCTTCTGAACAGATGTTGCAAAAAACCCAAAGAACAGACCAAACCCCTATGATACGTTTACCTTAGGGTCATCAAAAGTTGGAAATGACTTGAAGGCACACAATAAGAAAAGGCAGGTCATTAAGAATTTTGTGTAATTACAGTACAAAACAGTAAAAACATAGGATACATTGAATACTACTACTACTACTACTACTACTACTACTAATAATAATAATAATAACAACAACAATGCTATCACCTTAAGACAATGACAAAATAGTAAATTAAACATTACCAAATTGTTTAAAGCATAAAAGTAATATGTCAAGAAACAGAATGAATGCAAGAGTGAATATTAACTGACTGCAAAGATGGCTAAAAAAGACAGTGTGGTGTAGTGGTCTGAATGCTGGTCTAGGACTCTGAGAATCATGGCTTGAATCCCTGCTGAGCCATGGAAACCCACTGGATGACCTTGGGCAAGTCACATTCTCTCAGCCTCAGAGGAAGGCTACAGCAACCTCACCTCTGAACAAATCCTGCCAAGAAAACCCCATGATAGTGTCACCGTAAGTAGGAATTACTTAAGGGCACACCACCACCACCGCCACAACAACAATAACAACAACAAAGATGGCCATAAATGAGAGTACTCCTCATTGGCAGTTTCTCAGTGAGCTCAACTACACATCCATCTTGGTGGCGCTGATCCATGGTGCCTGATTATTTCAGTAAAGGTTCCTTCACACACACACACAGACACACCCCAGTCTAGCTTTCTGAAGGTTCATACCCCTCTCCTCCATTCTGGCATCAATGCATCTCCATTTTGCCTTGACTAAAGTTTAGTTTATTCACTCATATCCAGCCCATTGCTAAACTCAGCAAGCCAGGATAGAAAGGAACAGTTGGTTCCTGTTCTTTCTGGTGAGGGTGACCTTCTTAATGTCACCGAAAGAGTGAAAATTGTCACATGAAGCTACTTCAGGTAGGAGGGAGTCTCACTAGGGAAAGCTCAATTTCAGATGCTTCAGCAGTTATTTCAAGCCATGTTACAGATTTCTTCCAGCCGTTGCTCTCTTTTGAGAATTCTTTTCCCTTTTAAATGTTTTTGTTCTGTGCTCAATCCATGCACATAGGGAAGGGGACACAAAGAAAGAACTGCAGGACTTGTTCCTTGAATCCAGACCCCTTCCTTGGATATTTTTGAATAAATAAATGCAGCCCCAGTATTCAAACCAATGGCTCAACAAGAGGAACACTCTGTGATTATTTCCATTTATTCTGAAATTGGAACTGAATGTTATTAAAATTATTTAGGCTTCAATCTTATAGTACCTGGGGGAGTATTCCAAGGCTCACAGGATGTATGGATCTCCCTTTTCTTGGTGGTCCATGGATGAAGAATGAGGTCTGCTTTCTCATTGCTGGCTCAGATACCTCTGCCATTTTATTGGGCTGCCTTTAGAGCTTAAAGAGGTGTTGTTGTGTGCCTTCAAGTCATTTCCAACTTATGTTGAACTGAAGGTTACCCTATCATGGGGGTTTGACTTTGCCTCCCTCTGAGGCTGAGAGAAAGTGACTTACCCAGGGTCACCCAATGGGTTTCCATGGCTGAGTAGGGATTTGAACCCTGTTCTCCAGAGTTGTAATCCAGTGCTCAAACCACTACACTATGCTGGCTCTTGTTCAAGATCAAAAAGAGAGGGAACAAAGGAGGGTATTTGGATTTTCAGAATCCAAAGCACTCCCATTCTTCCACCTGCATGAAGGGAAAATAACCTTGCTAGTTTTGGAGGTGATATATTAAACATACCTGGGGAAACATACCCCAGGAAACTGGGGTGGAGAAACTGCCAGATCTCAAGCTATATCAAGCTTAAATCACCATAACATACATGGGGCAGGAGCATGTACCCCGTATTTTCCTTCGTATAAGACGACTTTCTAAGCAGGAAAAGCTGG